CCAAGGTAGGCGGAACCGCCTCGACTATGGACATTGTCAAGAGTAGAAACCAGACGACTGTAAGCGCAGATAAGGAAGATTCAGGGGACGATCAGTTGTCGGATATGCACCACCAGCAGGCATCGCCCGATGAGACGGCGCGTAGCACGCGAGACATTTCAATGCGACGTAGTCAAATGCATCAGCTGAGCATATCAAGGCTAAACAGTACGGAGTCCAATTTCAAGATTCCGGTGACCTGCTCAGCTAAAAGTGAGGAGCAAATGGACAAGGGGAAACCAGGTTGCATGGATCTCGCTCTAGCTGGTAAGCATTCAATCGGTTTTCAGCCTTCTGAAGTACTTATATTATTTCATTTTGAATGTGAGCAGGTTTGTACGGGCATAAGGAGCTTCGGGAAGTATGAGTATATAAATTACTCGTAGAGGCGGACAACAGCGGACAGAATGTTATTTCACTGTTCACTTCAGTATCGGTATCAGTATCAATTTATTTGAGGGAAATGTATGTATGTACCTTTGAACTCACTATTAGTATTCATGAGTGTTTTGATATCAAAAAGTACTAACTCAGCTTATTGACGATGCCAACTGACACGAATCAATAAAGTGGAACAAAGGAAAAAGAGCAGCCAATGAAAAAAAACTGGGATTTTTTTGGAAACAAAACTGTCGCTTTTGGGAAAATAGGTCGAAATGGGAAGGGAGGTCGCAGAGGTCACGGGGATCAACACCGAAGTTTGGAAGATGCGTGCGGATGCTCCCTTGCGGAGTGCAGAGTCCACCGACAAGGTTGCGAAAACAGAATTATCCGCCATGATCGTCGACAGGCCGCTGCGGGTCGAACCAAGGAAGAACGTTTGGTGACCACGTAGACTATGACCACAGGGTTGGACAGATGTGATCGCTGATGGGATCGTCGCGGGTCGTCGCGGAAAAACCGCGAAGACATTCGCCTGAGGGGGCTTAAGCGATGGGTTGTGCATAATAATCTTCACGGGACATAATTGGTTTCGCTCTGCCAAGGCAAGTCCGTATTTACGGAGGGAGAGTACTGTCCCAGTACATAAATCGAGCTTAAATGTATGTTTTGATTCGGCCTATAATATGCTAGCTGTTGCTAGCTGGAAGGGCTAGAGAGTGAGCCCCAAGACATAAGGACACGAGTGTATTCCGTAACCGACCAGTGAACTCCCATCTACTAATCTTTTCTATAGGTCACAACACAGTGGCGTCCTATGAAGTCGGGCTTTCGTCTATCCAAGCGCAGGAAGTTAAGGCTACAGCTTCTGCGTTTTCTATAGGCGGAAAACTTGCGCATAGCTGGGTGTTTGAGTGAACTGAAAATAGTGTTCGTAGGTTGCCACGATGTACGGAAAGACGGAGGGAATGTTTTTAATTCATCCTTTTAAATCGTGGTAAATTGGTGAACGGGGACAATCCTAGGACGTTGTCCTCATCACCCCTACCTATCTTGAAATGATATTGGTGGCACGAATTGTTTATAGGGCACGCTGCTTTCTAAAGACAAATCTGTCCTCAGAGAGGTCACAAATCCATGAATTTAAATTATTTATTCAAACTTGTGAGTTAAATAATAATGATAGAAATATATGAAAATATGGCGAAACTGGCGAGTGACAAATAGCTCTCTCAATAAGTGATGAGTTCATTAATGTGCTTAGAGTAGACAGGCCTCCATTCCTCAAAAATGCTGTCTGTGATGGCATAACATTTGGAGGAGG